CGACAGCGTCGGGGTCGCTGGTGACGGCGTCGTCACCGGACGGCTCGCAGTGCTTCACTTGGGACCGCACGTGCGCATCGGCGGCGACACACTGCGTGAACTGGACTTGCAGCGTGATCCATCGGCGGCGCAGGTCTTGCAGCCCGCCGAGGTCCGTTCGCGCCGTTTGCCGCCCCGTCACATGCAGCCACGCTGCAAACCGCACAAGGTAGTCGAGGCGTTCCGCTTCCCAGTCGCCGAGGCACCGGCGCACCTCCTCTGGCAGCCCGGCGAGCTTGCCTGCGAGCCTCAAGCGGAGCGCCACACCGCACAAACGGTGCGTGACGATGGCCTCCTGCGCCGCACGCTCCATTGCGTATGCGTGGGACCGCTGCCTCCACATCCGCACAACAACCCCCGCCTCGTTGCAGCCGTTCACCACCGCACCCTCACAGTTAAGACGACGCGCCATGCCGTCTCGCAGGACTGCGTATTCGTCTGTCCCCAGCTCTACTGCCGGTTGCGGCGTCACAACATCAAGACCGAAGGACTGCAGTGCCGCCATGCTGCTCGCGGGATCGGCACAGAGGCCTTCATGCGGGGTCGCACCACGGCAGGTAACGGCGTAGAACCTCAGTGTCTCACGGGGCCCGTGGTCGACGAGGTGTCCACATTCCCGCAGAATACCATCAAAGCATGCGGTGCGCCCCGTAGTGCTCAAATAGTCATGCAGAGCAGCGGTCCTTCCCTCCGGCAGCGCACGCAACGTGTCTCGCCAGACGCTCACCACACGTTTGGGAACCGCAGCGCGTCACGTGCCCGAGTGGCATAGCCCCTGGCGGCAAAAGCGTCCGCTACATCTCCTGAACAATCCCCGCAGCAAATGCCACACCCATCAACGTTTTCGTAAGGTCGTGTCGCACCCCTTCTCCCTCGGAAAATCCCGCGGCCCTCCTTCCCGTGGCGCGTGCCATCGTGGTGCGGCCCCCGCCCCATTGCAGCCTAATAGTCCCCTATCTACTGTTGGTGTAAAATACTTGTTGTACAACTGCAAGGGGAACACCAGGCGTTCACGTGCAGTCCAGCAGAAGCCACAGCAAACAAATATACGCGGTGGGCACCACAACAACCAGCACACCCCCACCCACATGCATCATCTTCACGGACACCACAGTCAGCCACACCACTCCCGTTGCATGTGCGCCCTCTCTCCCCCATCATCCCTCCCTCCCTCCTGCCGGCATTCACAGAAGAATGCTGCGGATGCCGGAGAACTGTTCCACGTCGGCATCTGTGACGCCAGCCCGCCGCGCCTGCCACCCCGACAAGACGTGCCGCACAACGACATCCGCGGCGAGTTCCTTTACCTCGGCGCTGTTCATCTCACCCCTGCTGTACTTCGACGTCACCTCCGCGAGGAGATTGTCCTCGGGGCAGAAGAACCGAATGAGTTGGTACGCCACGTCTGCGTGCAGGTTGACACCCTCCGCACGCATGTCCTCCAACGTGCCACCCCCACCAGAGAAGGCCTTGCGCACCTTCTTCCGCACCTCCTGCTCCGTGTCGTGTAGTGTGATGACTCCGTTCCCCTCGGCGCTGCTGCTCATCTTGAACTGCGCTCCCTTCAGTGCGGGGAGGAACTTTGTGTGCAGCAGTGCGGGGGCGCAGCACTTCATACGCGGCGCGACGTTGCGTGCCAGGAGGAAAAAAGGGTCCTGATCAATTGCACAGGGAATGATGCACTTCAGCGGCGGGTCCCCAGCTAGCCGTCGTAGCACACGGGGGAAGGCACTGCTAAAACACGGCGCGGCCTGCACCGCTGGAAAGGCTGCCTTTCCAACATTGTCGCTATCCTTCAGGCCAAATGTATTCTTCACAGCGCTCAGCGTCAACATGCGCTGCACCTGCACGACAGTTGGGTACATGTCCCCCATGTGCACCGTGTTGCGGAATATAAATGTCTTGCGTGGATCGAAGCCAAAGGCAACGATGTCTTTATGTTCTCCACCACCAACCCGCTCGCCCTCTCCCCGCTGACGGGAATGTCGCGGAAGAAGTGCTTCTCATCATCGGGCATCTGAATCACCAACGGAAGACCGAGCGCATCCTGCAGGTACCGCGTCAATAAAAACGGTATGACATGGCCAATGTGCATCGACTGCGCGCTCGGTCCACGGCCAGTGTACAAGTACGCGCGGTGTGTCCCCGTCGCAAGGGACGCACGCACGCAGTCAAGGGCGGTTCCAAAATCCCTGTGGGAGAAGACAATGCCGCGGCGGAAAAAATGGAGCAATGCCATTCGTCCCGCCTCCCCTTGTGCGGTGCTGGTTGCCTGCGCGTGCTCCTTCCGTCCGTTGCGTGTCTCCTCCAGCCGCTGCAGAAGGGGCTCATCAACGGGCTCCGACCCGAATAGTGCGAGGACGCGGTCATAGTCCACACCCCTCGGGCCCGTGGCGGCAACACCCCGCGGCGTCACAACGTCCTCCTTGCGCTCTGTGCGGCTGGCATCATCCCCACGCGTCGTGGCACAACTTCGTCCTCCAAAAACCAACGGCGCAGCAAAGCGTGAGATGCGACGCATCACAAAAGAATCCAGACGACTACTTCGCCCGTGCACCGCAGTGCCACAGCGGACGGAAAACAAACAGGCAGGAGGAGAGAGGCAGGACTTCGGGACAGCACACACCACCTGATGCATCACACCCAGAAAAAAAAAAAATGCATGCAGCGGGCTCCAACACCCAAGCACTCACCTCTGCCGCAGCCAAGCTACAAACGCGTAGCCTCCCACACAATCGCTGGAAATTACAAGACAATCAAATGAACACTGGCAGAAGAGAAAGACAATAGAAAAGCGCCAATGAAAACAAAAATGAGCGACACTGTTGGTGCGCCATACAATGACTGGCCGTGGTGCGCAGCAGCCGTGGCCCTGCGTCATCTCCCCCCATCGGCCAGCACCGCACTCCCGCCACTTCCACGCAGCGATATACACGCAGCAGCCGCTGGTGGTGGCGGATCACGGAGTGACAAAAGAAACGAGAAAGAATTACAAAACAAACACTGTGAAGTTGGTGTAAACTAGAAAAGATAAAATAAAAGTATGAACAAAACTCCACACACATTATCCAGAACATAAAAGACAGTCAAGCCAACACTGGCAGAAAAGAAAGACAATAGAAAAGCGCCAATGAAAACAAAGATAAACGACACTATTGGTGCGCCATGCAATGACTGGCCGTGGCGTGCAGCAGCCGTGGCCCCGCGCCATCTCCCCCCATCGGCCAGCACCGCACTCCCGCCACTTCCACGCAGCGATATACACGCAGCGGCTGCTGGTGGTGGCGGATCACGGAGTGACAAAAGAAACGAGAAAGAATTACAAAACAAACACTGTGAAGTTGGTGTAAACTAGAAAAGATAAAATAAAAGTATGAAAAAAACTCCACACACATTATCCAGAACATAAAAGACAGTCAAGCCAACACTGGCAGAAAAGAAAGACAATAGAAAAGCGCCAATGAAAACGAAGATAAACGACACTGTTGGTGCGCCATGCAATGACTGGCCGTGGCGTGCAGCAGCCGTGGCCCCGCGCCATCTCCCCCCGTCGGCCAGCACCGCACACCCGCCACTTCCACGCAGCGATATACACGCAGCAGCTGCTGGTGGTGGCGGATCACAGAGTGACAAGAGAAACGAGAAAGAATTACAAAACAAACACTGTGAAGTTGGTGTAAACTAGAAAAGATAAAATAAAAGTATGAAAAAAACTCCACACACATTATCCAGAACATAAAAGACAGTCAAGCCAACACTGGCAGAAAAGAAAGACAATAGAAAAGCGCCAATGAAAACAAAAATGAGCGACACTGTTGGTGCGCCATACAATGACTGGCCGTGGCGGGCAGCAGCCGTGGCCCTGCGCCATCTCCCCCCATCGGCCAGCACCGCACACCCGCCACTTCCACGCAGCGATATACACGCAGCAGCTGCTGGTGGTGGCGGATCACGGAGTGACAAAAGAAACGAGAAAGAATTACAACAAACAGCACAGCGCAGTTAAGTTAAGCAAAGTAAGAACATGGGACGATGAAAACTCCACACACATTATCCAGAACATAAAAGACAGTCAAGCCAACACTGGCAGAAAAGAAAGACAATAGAAAAGCGCCAATGAAAACAAAAATGAACGACACTGTTGGTGCGCCATACAATGACTGAACGTGGCGCGCAGCAGCCGTGGCCCCGTGCCATCTCCCCCCGTCGGCCAGCACCGCACACAAATTTCACGTGGCGCATGTCACAGGATAGCGTGATTCACGCTTCCGCGTGTAGTTGATGCACGGTCCAGGAAGCTTAATGCGTTGGAGTGGGTGTCGACGCCCAGTGGCTGCGGCTGACGGTCAATGGTATCTGGGTTGCGTTCGTTGCTACCAATTATGCGCTCCCACTGCGGCGGTGCGGGTGGTCGGTACGACGACGCGCCGGCGGTGCGTGAAGCGTACGATGATGATGTCCTGTCGTGGTGCTTCCGCAACTCTTCGTCACTCTCCTCGTCATCGTGCAGCAGCGCATCCAGCTCGCCACGCTGCGGCTCGCGCAGTTCCTGCCAGTGGTGGTCCTCCACGTACCACAAAACCGCACAGTACAGAGTGGCCGCAAGCAGCACAGCGGTCAGCAGCATCAGAAATGCTGCGTACGCCCTCGCTCCGCCGTCGCTGGGCGCAAGATGGTTGGCCGCGCTGGTCAGGCACAGCGCCGCAAGGAGCACCAAGCTCGCCGTGCGCATCACCGTCAGGAAGGCGAGCGCATCATGTTCGTGAAGGCAACCACGCCGCACCCGGCAGCAGCACAGCAGCCATGCAGAA